TGTCATTCTGTTACATGGACTCCCATTTATTATCTTTGGTCGCAATTAAGACTGCCTTCCCTCTTTTAGTGAACTTCCTTATAATATTTTAAATATTGTCTTTAGGACTTAATGTGCAAATGCTTTTGGCATCTTTGTCATGACATCTTTGCCTGTGCTTATGTCCTAAATGGTATTGCCTAGGTTTTCTTCTAGGGTCCTTGTAGTTTTGGGATTTACATTTAAGTCTTTCATATATCTTGAGTTAATTTTTGTATATGGTGTAAAAACGGGGTCCAGTTTCAATTTTCTACATATGGCTAGCCAGTTCTTCCAGCACCATTGATTAAGTATTGAATCTTTTCAGAATAAAATACCTAGGAGTACGGCTAACAAGGGAAGTGAAGAACCTCTTCAAGGAGAACTACAAACCACTCCTCAGAGAAATCAGACACAAACAAGTGGAAAAGCATTCCACGCTCATAGATCGGAAGAACCAATATTGTGAAAATAGCCACATTGCCCAAAGTGATTTATAGATTTAATGCTATTCCCATATGACTGCCACTGACATTCTTCAGAGTTAGAAAAAAACTATTTAAAAATTCATATGGTACCAAAAAAAGCCCGAATAACCAAGAAAATCCTAAGCAAAAAGAACAAAGCTAGAGGCATCATGTCACCAACTTCAAACTCTACTACCAGGCTACAGTAACCAAAATAGCATGGTACTAGTACAAGAACACACACATAGGTCAATGGAACAGCATAAAGAAACCAGAAATAAGACCACACACCCACAACTATCTGATCTTTTACAAAGTAATGCATTTCTAGGAACACTTATACCTGAAAGTCTTTCTTGGCTTTGCAATTTTTCTCAACAATGCTTAAATTTTCACTGAAGTTCTTCTTTATACAAAAAAACTGGGTGATATTTTTCTTGCAACCACCCAATTCATAACTAATGCTAATCTGTAATTTTTTGAAAATTACCAGGTATAAATATTAACAAAAAAAGCCATCTACATACCAAAAGACTAAAACAAACAACTGAAGCGTTCTCTCAATTTCAAGACTAGTTGGAACTATAACCAACTCTGTACTATATACAGGAGTCACCTAAAGCAATAATACAATGGTACAAACTCAGTATGGGGGAGAAAAAATGCATAAAAAAATATTTGAAAATGTAGCAATATTAATAACAGATTTTATCAATTCTACTAAATAAAATAAAGAGAGTACAATTTGTTAAATTAAATTTATTTTTTAGTCAGTTGGGTCATAAGAATTAATAATACATGAAAAATACAATTCAGCAGAAGAAATCAGACACAAAATATATAAATGAATAAATGGATAAAATACCTTTTAATAGTGGTAAGTTCTAAAAAATAGATATAATCTATATGGTGGTTAAGGACTCATCACATGGAGATATGTTACATAATACGGTCAAGTAAAACTTTTCTCCAGTAATTTTTGAATTTTTATCTAAGAGCAGGTAGGAGCCATTATAAAAACATTTAAGACAGTATTCCTCTACCCTAGCTACATATTGGAATCATCCAAGAAATTTTAAAAAATACTCTTGACTGTTCCCTCATCCAATCTCCAAAATTCTTATTTCGTCAATTTGGGTTGGAGCACATGCACTGTTTTATATTATACCCCTTTGGGGTTTGGAATTTTCATTCTCATCCATGGCTGAGAGTCACGGATGAGAATGGCCTAAGGCCATGGTTTTCCACACATTAGAAGCACCTGAAGAGTTTTTAAAATCTCATTTCTCAAGCTGCTTTCACATCAATTAAATCAGGATATCTGAGGGCAGGTTCTTGGCATCAGTCTTCTTTTGTAACACTCCAGGTTATTTCAGTGTATAGACACAGCTGAGAGCCTGTGTTCTGGAGGAAGAATATTCTAAGTAGAGGAAAGAACAAATGCAAAGGCCCAAAGGCAGGGGTAAGCTTGATGTTTTCCAAGTCCAGAAAGAAAGCCAGATTTAATGGAGGGAATAGAAGTGTGTTCCAAGATGGTATGGTAATGGCAGTTTCAATGAAAATCATCTAGCTATGATTAATCAGAAGGATAATTAGTATAATTTCTATTTAAAAAATTTTTTGGCCACTGCAGAGATTAGGCAATATATACACAAGAATAAAAGCAGGGATCAATAGAAGTAGTCTAAGCAAATAAAGAATATATAAAATGAAGTTGAAGAAATAACTATAAGAACAAAATAAAAATTATAAAAGAGTAATTTGTAAAACACTATAGAAATAAACTTGAAAATTTAAGTGAAATGAGTCTTTAGCAAAATACACCTGAATTTCTAATAGACCAGTAAACTAAGATGATAATAAAACATTTATCAAACCACTCACAAAAAGAAAAAAAAAAGGCCTGTATTATGAGTGAATAAACAAATTAAAATGCTATTTAAATGTATCCAAAACATAATTTTAAGAACAAAGCTTCTAAATTGATTTTTTTGACTCTATCATAGCACTGATGGCAAAACTGGACGAAGACACAAAAGTCAAACCAGCAAACCAAAATAGCAATACAAAAATATTACTTATTGAAATGATATCAAGTTGCAAAAAAGTACTTCCTATTGACTAGGTCTGAAAAATAATTAGAATTTTTTTTAAAAATTCAATGTTAAAAAAATTTTTTTAAAAGCATATTATTTATGCTGTATATAAAAAATTACATTCTGTGTGCAGATGGATTTCATTTTAGACATATAAAGATTATTTCTTTTCAGAAAACGTACTAAAATAATATGGTAACTAACATATACACAAAGACACTTATTAAGATTGAAATTAGTTATCGATAAGACCAAATAAATATTTAGCTACTCTGTTCCTCACTCACATTCTGTGAGTTCTGTGGGTTGCTTTATGGCTGTAATCTATGAACTCTACTAGGCAATGCTGAGCTGGGCTGAACTGACTGGATTCAGGCTGAAGGAGTAACTTATCTAGACCATGTGGCCCCCATGGTATAGGTCACAGGATCAGGGTTAGTAAAACAACATAAACCCATTAAAAATGTCTTTACCCGTGTATCATTGGTCCAATCAAGTAACATGGTTCAAGTTAAACTCAATGGAGTGTAAAATTCATGGGAAAGGTGAGGAGAAATACATAATTGAAAAGAAACTGTAAAATCTACCTCTTAAAATAAACAAACTAACTAAATAAATAAACCCTTAATATTATATGAAAATAGATACCTTCATAGAAGAAAATTAATATCTATATCTTCATAGAATAATATAACAGGGATTGAGCTATCACAAACCAATGCCAACCTAAAGCTTAACAACTTAAACATATTTTATTAAAGTGATAGAAATGAAACAGATCCTTACTTTACCAGTATTATTGAATAATATTCTGGAAATTCTCGCCAGTGCAATTAGAGAAGAGAAGGAAATGCACAGAATATAAAATTGAAAGGAGAATAGAAATTTAACACTTTTTGTGGATGTTATGACTATATAAGCAAGAAAACTCAAGAGAATATACCACAATCTACAAATAATAAAAGAACGTAAAAAAAAGTGAATGATTAGCCAATTAATATAAACAGCAGCTTTCCTGTATACAAACAGTGGCAGGTTAAGATAGAAAGAAAAAGTTCTGTTGTTAATTAGGTTAGCATCAATGATAATAATAATCAAGAGTATAGCTAACTAGAAATCTACTGACTTTATTTTAAAAAAAGATTACAAATCTGATATATTGAATGACAAACATATAACTGAAAGATATCAATAATCTTGAATGAATAGTAAAAAAAATCATGTTCTTTGATTAAAAACTGTGTTTTTATAATTCTCCCTAAATTAAATTCATAAATACTATTCAATAGAAATGAAAACTCCATCTGCCTTTTTATCTGGAGGAACACTTGACAAAATAACACTGGGGTTCATCTAGGAAAATAAATATGTGACAATATCCAGGAAATTTCAGAAAAAGATCAGTAATGTGACCCTTGCCAGATATTAAAATGGCCACTAATGTGGGTCTGTTTAGATAACTTAAGGTTCTTTTATATAATAATTAATATAAAGCTATTAAAAACAAAAATATGAATTGTCATATGCAGAGTTTCAGGACATTATTTAAAATATATAAAAATATTAAATACTATTATAAATTTTAAAACATACATATCAAATGTTTCTGAAAGAATATACTTAAAACTATTAAGCAGTTACATAGTCTCAGAGGCGCTAGTGGTTTTCCAGTAGGAGGAAAACTTGTACTTTTTATTGTCTGATGCTTTTTTATCATATGCATGTATTACTTTAGTTGTTGTTCTTAGTGCTCAAAAAGCTTTTGAGTGCTGATGGGTTATAATGTATCCAGGAATTGAAATGAAATGTATACCCATAAAAAATCATATATTTAAACATTATTGAACAACATGCATTCAAATCATTTAAATAATTTATTTATTTAATGTATATACTATACTATTAAATTTAAGGCATTTGTTTATCCCGAAAGACATATTTAGCATAAATTTCTCTTGTTTTAATTGTTATAATATTTGACAATAACTGAAAATTATTTGATGTTTCCATTAATTTTTACAGTTTTTACTCTTAACTTGCCATGTGAATGTGTTACCATTCAAAAGAGCTAGCCAATAATATCTGGAATATTCTCATTTAGTAAAAAGCTCAGTTAACATCATTCCTTTCAGACACAAGGTTAAGGAACATTGACTGAAGAATCATGATACAGTGTTCAAGAAATCTACCATTTTATTGAGTGGCCAGCTAGATAATTATAGTTTCTCATAAAGCGACAATCCAAGTATTCTTTAAACCTCATCCTTTGCTGGTGTTTCAAAATTCCAAACTAAAAGAGTTCAAGTTATTGTGATTTTCAAATACAAATATTTCAGTATCTGAAATAACTGAACTAACTCCCTAAAATATATAGAAACAGTTAGTGAAGGCTAAATGCAAAGGAAATGTACCATCTTACCTTAGTTGCAACCAGATCGCTAAAACAACTTTGCCCAAGAATCTGGCCCTACGGAAACATATTTGATGTTGAAACAAGGTCTCTTTGCTAGTTATTTCGTTGCATGTCCATCTGCTATGTTGAAATTTTGCCAGCTCACAAACTGGTCTGCTATTTTCAGTAAAGCATGTGCCAAAGCAGCACATGGTTTAGACTGGCAGATTACATAAGGCTGTGAGTATCCACTATAATAAAAATTTAGTCTTTTGCCCAGTATGTTTGATCCTTAAATTGCTCACTGCACGCTCATTAACTCAAAAAAAAAAAAAAAAATCCCTTGAAAGAGATGACATACTATTAGTTTACTTTACTGTTAAGGAATCTTGACAGAGATGAAATGACTTAATCAGAGGCACAGGTGAATATTTAACGGAATGTTTGTGTTTGTTTACTGGAACTACATCTTCTCACCTGAGGTTTTGATGTTTGTATTGGAGGGAAAAGTGTTAAAATTCAATAAGATATAGATAGATATTTTCTGAAAGAGTAGTTAGTGGTGAGAAGGAAACACTTGAAATAACACAAATTATTACAATAATTTCTGATGTATATGTCTGGAAATTCTTAATTTTAAATCAATAATTGAACTAATTCATCTTACAAGTCTACTTTGGTGGTTACTTTGGCTTATTGTACTGGTATTCTCTGTACCATAAAGGCTATTTAGAAGTTTTAGGAATATTATCCATTTCAACAGAATCCTTTGGAAACTTTTGAACATAGTTTATTTAAAGAGAGAAGTCAGATGACGTTTAAAACTTTATCATCGTTTACAATCTTTGTAAAGATAAAACATATACGAAAAACTTAAATAATTACTAGCATGCAGGGATGCAAGCCTACTGTTTCAAAAGACCTAAGGATATATGATAGTAAAGTTTCATTACCATCAGAGTTAAAAACAAGAGTTTTGATATTTCATAGTTCTTCAGATTAATTGAAGCTTTTCATCTTGATTGAATTTCTAGGTTTGCAAAATAATCAAACTGGTCCCAAAAAGTTTTGCTAGGCTCTTTTATTAAGGACTTTGATGAGCAGTCAGACAAGCACGCCAATCACATTTGTGAATGGCATGAGGGGAATGTAGAAAATGTTCACCTATTATCGATATCTGAAAAAATCTCTAAAGGCAAAACATAGGTAACCCTGTAAGGTTAAAATATTATAGCAGTTAATGTGAAGTTATCATGTTCTTAGGTCTGAAAAATTCAAGTTTATAAGGATAGAATAAAGAAGGCATACCTAGGATTAACCCATGTAAAAATCACATTAGAGTTTTAGTTTAGCTTAATAATAAGTGTGGATGTGGCCAGACCAATCGCCACACTCAGTTGTGAGAGTCATAATTTGAGATGAATTTTGATAAGCAGAAGTAGAGGACACAAAACAGGATCATGAAAAACTAGTATATAGTATAATTATAATATACTAATACATATTATATTATATAATAATGACAAAAGTAATATATATTGTGTATACTATATATTATATAATATTATTATGTAACATTTTATTATATAATATATATTGTTATATAACATTTTATCATATAATACATATATAATATTATATAAGATAATGTTGTTATATAATCTATAATATTATATAATGCCTAGTTTGAAGTAACTGAGATTACATAATGTAGAGAACTCAGGCAAAATGAAATACGTATTTTAAAATATTTGAAAGACAGCATATGGAAATGTATTTAGCCATGATTTGTATAACTGAAGAGGTAATAAGAAGATCCAAAAGTTGAAAGTTACTGGGGCCACGTTTCAATTCAAGTTAAGATAAAACTTTTTTTTTTTTTTAACAACTCAAAAACAAAATGAGTTTTGAAGAGAAAAATGCTTGAAGGGCATATAAAGAGGTGAAATCATCTATTAAGGGAAGGAAAGAAAAGAAAGGGATTTAGAACATATTACCTTAGCAGTCCTTTTAAATTCATACATAATTTTAAATATAGTGTTCTTTAGACGCTAAAGCCAATTGGTTGACTGTATATATATATATATACACACACACACACACAAATTATATACATATAAATTATATATAATTAATGAGGGGTGTGTGTATATATATTATATTTGCATTAATGTTTGCATACAAGCATATCTGAAAAGCTGAAAGTTTTTAATATTGTGATAAGTTGATAAAGTCTTGGTAAATATTTATTAGCCCTTTAGAATGGAAAATTTTGGACTCTAATCCCAGTATAATATCAGTTGACTTCCTGCTTAACTGTTGTAATGATTCTACTCTGCTTACGTGGTTAAAATTGACCGGAGATAAAAGTGACAGCTAGGGCAGTGTGTACAAGAACAGAAAGGCAAGATAGAGGTGGGTTCCTTGAAGATGACAAGAGGAAGCTAGGATTTGCTGTAGGAGGCAAGAGGCCACTAGTAAACGGATTCAGAAGGGAATGGTTTGGTCTGAACAACAAGAAACAGGGAAATGTTAAGCTCTCAAAGGTTTCCAAAATAAAAGGGACATGGAGAATACAAGATTTTATATGTCCTAACCCTGCTATCTAACTGAGAGGCACACAAAAGAAATGGGCCAGATAAAACTGGCATTTATCAAGAGTGGAGCAGATACACCCTTAACCTGGCGACTCTATGGCAGACTACAAGGAAGAGGCTTACTTGTTCTGGGAGGCGAGTTCAACATCGACACTAAGGGATAAAACCTGAACAAAGAAAGGCAGGAGTAAGTCTAAGGACATGAGGTGGAAACCTAATGGGATTGGGCAGCAATTCCCGTTTCCAAGGGCGAAAATGACTTTTACACTAAGCCTCAGCAAGTGGCTGCGTTTTCCCGGTTCCCGTGCTACAATGTGGTTAGCCATGACGCTGCCTGATTTATAACACTGTGGATTTACTGACTTCTGTTAGGGGCTACAGTGCATTCATTTTTCTTCTTCTTTTTTCCTTTTTTCTGTAGAATAGATATCTACTTTGAAAAAATTTTTCATCATTCTATTATATATACCTTTTGTCATACCAGCTAGATAAACGATTTTGAAGAGTTTCAATTTTTCTATTTTTCTATATATATAATAGAAAACAATTTCCTTGAAGTGGTCCTACATTCTATATGTTAATAGTGGTGAGATTTAATTCTTTACAACCCCACTCATTTCTATTTTCCACTTATCAGTAAGGTTTGTCAGATATGTAGGTTTTCAAGAAAATAAGTGTGGTATTATGTATTATTATGGAATTTTAAACTACTGCTATTTATCAGGTTAATGGCATCGATTACATGAAAGTAACATGTTACTTTCTAAATACTATTTGTTGACTGCATAATTCCAAAACTGAGGTGCATCTGCAGGAGCCAAAATCCAACAAAACTCACCCCAAAAGGACTCGTCTAGCTCCATTAAAGGAAGTAGTTCTTTAAACATCCTCGAGTAATCAGTTCTCAGTGTATGTTTACTATTCATGAAACATTGCTCTAAGGAAATGAGAGAGAGAGGGAGAGGGATGAGGAAAGGGGGAAAGAGAGAGAGAGAACAAATCAGGAACTTGTTCACCTTCAGAATAAAATACTCAGAGGTAAATCAGGTAAGAACATTAAGGGAGGGAATGGTCTATAAAATTGGCATCAAGCCACATGTTACAACATAAGGAGGTGAATAGGAACAATACTCAAGCCTTAAAGTTACCTTGATGAAGAAAACAAATCAAGATCTCCAGGTTGGAGAATAATTTACAAATTTATACTGGATCTTATAGTAAATGGTCGATTGTGGCAAAAATTAAGCAACCCTTAAAAAAAATCTGAGATAATTCTACTACAAATTAATGCTATTAAGCACTTTTTAATCCCTCCATTTAAATTTTGTTCATGTCCCCCATAAAGCAACTTAACTATATAGGTGGAATTAGATACAGAAAGTGCATGGCAGGTGTCTGGATCTCAATATGAGATTATATGAATGAAAGTGTCCTAATGGAAGGTGAGGGAACATCTGAACATATAAGTTCCTGGGTGCCTTTGGGCAGTCACGTAATTCAGCACATCTGCAATTCAGGGAATTTCAAATCAATTTCCAAGCCCCAGAAAATTCTAAAAGTCCACCTATGGGATAACGAACTATAATTTTTGCATGTTTTATGTTAAAATATTGAAAGAAATGTTTATATTTATTGTAACTAGAGGCTTCATACCTATTTTTCTATTTTAAAGGAGGAACCTAGATTTACATTTTGAAACAGAATGAAGAATAAGTACTGATGATTGATAAGGCATCCACAGAGTTGGAGAAACAAATTTGGAATCGATTCTCATCACTTCTTTATCATTAGTTCCTTTCCTTATTTAATCAGCATTTTGTGTTGTTATACTTAACAATTTTTGATTTTTAAAATATTTCCCATGGCTTACTATCAAGTCAAACTGAATTATCAGCCCTATCTTATAGTTAAAAATACAACAATGTGGTCAAATTGTAGAGCAAAATAAATGTTTAATGGGTTCATAATAAAAAATTTGAATAAAGGAACTTTTATAAATGTATGTCTTAAACATTCTTTGACATTCATTTATATTCATTGTGACAGTAAAAAAAGTTTCCAGCATGGAAATGGACAGAAAAGTACAACGAGCAAGTCTAACTTCAATAATCGCTTAAACTTAAGTCATGCGAGGAACGTTTATTATAATAGAAGAACTTGAAATTACTTGGAAAAAAGCTATGACAATTGGCAGATTATGATTCAAGCACCTGTAAATTTTTATGACACTATAATGTTTTAAAAAACGCAGGAGTAGGGAATCCATATGCTACTCAGTTTAGGATAAATTAATAAAATTCTGCATATTATTATCTACTTTAGTGATATCTTTGTGGTATCTTCAGTTAAATTCAAACTACTGTAAATCAATTCAGTAATAGTTACTGAAATAAAGAAAAAGAAGATAAAACCTTGAATAAATGTACCAAGGAAAAAACATTATAGTCTTGGCATGTTTATAGTTCAGTAGAACATTAGGTTAGCAATTTAACAAAAACCAAGTCTTCCA